AGTTGAACCTTTACTCCGGCCATAAAGTAAGCTGTCAAAAACTCTCTATTCATATTTTCCCACACATTGATCCTCTTAGGCGTGACCATGTAAGCTTGCAATTGGATTTTCCAATTGTGGATCAGCTAGGGAAATACTTGGGGTGTCTATTTTGCACCAACGTATTTGTGCCTCGAATTATGAGTTTATACTTGATAAAGTACAGGGGAGGATTGATTTGGTGTACGGTAAAGACTCTTATCACTAACTGGTCGAATCACTCTTGCGAAATATGTGCTCGTAACGATTACATTCCACTTCATGCAATCTAGAATTCTTCCTGTTACGAAAATGATAAAATTGTCATAAGATTCATTTGGGGCACTTAACCAACTAGTAAATAAAATTTCCCTAGTAAATTGGTGTACCTCGTGTCAACCGATTGCTCGTGGAGGCCTTGGTGTTATTAATTCCCACGTACACAATAAGGCGTTTATCATGAAGATTGGATACAATTTGATTATGATTCATTCTGGGTCCAATTACTTAGGCAAAAGTATAGAATGGACGAGCTTTGCCCCCTTCTATACGTATGCTCTTTCTTGTGGCGTGCTTTGTCCAACATTTGGAGTGATCTTCGCACTAATCTAGCCTGGTCTGTTGGTAGTAATTCAGATGTCCATCTCTGTAATGATACATGGAAGAGAAGGAATGGCCAGGTTTTCAATAACTCATAGATGCCCTCCACTACTTAAGCATGAACTGAGCGATTCATTTCACGGACCATGGCCTCTCCCGCGAGGTGATTAATCGGCTTCCCAATCGGTCTGCTAGATGGACGAATCCCCCAACAGGTTGGTACTACCTTAATGTTGATGGAGCTAGCAGTACATCCGAATATTGGTACATCAACAATAGATAGTGAAGGTGATTGGATATCTGGCTTTTTAAAGAATATTTGAGTGACGAATATCTTGAATGTAGAATTATGTGGGCTCTTTGAAGGCCTCTCATTGGCCTGGGGTCTAGGATGCGAACTTCTGAAGATTCAATCGGATAATTCTACGTTACTCAAGATGGTTGAATCCAAATGTCTATAAAAGTTCTCACTCACTAGTATGAGCGATTGCCTTCCTTCGGAATCGCAGTTGGTTCACCGATATATATTGGGTCTGTCGTGAAAGTAATACTCTTGCGGATAGAATGATTAAGTTGGGACTATCTGATCATTTCGAAATAATTACTTCAACTCATGAAAAATCTCTGCATAACGACGCACAGAGCCTCTAGCGAAGACATTACCTTCTTCTTCATGGATGTGGGAACCGAAAGGAGGATGAACCCCTTTTGAATGTTCAGATGGGACCTCGTCGGTGTGAGAGTTGGGATCAACGACTGCAAGTAAACAATGAGACAATAGATGATGAAAATTAAAGCTCAAAGGTTTTGGCATTGATCCAGTCGCTTCTTCTGTTTGGCTTAGACTTTTGGTGTAGTAGCCTAGCAGGCACAACGATTTCTTTTGATTCACTCGATTAAAAGTGTTCAAACTCTTTTGATCGTCCAACAAATTAAATTAGTTAAAATATAATTACTTGAATTTTTAATTATTAATCGAATTAATTTTTTAAAAATTAACTAATTCAGTCATTTTCGAATTAATCAAATTTTTTATTTAAATTAATTTGAGTTTAATAGATATTTTTCATTAAAATTAAAATTTAATTGAATCTTAAAAGTTTAATGGTCTCATGCATGTGTTTAAAAATTTAATTTAATATTTTCTAAAAAAATAACTTAGATTTTCGCTCAATATTTTTGTCTCTTCCTCTTTCCTTTTGATTTTTGTTTAGCAAGTGACAATATTAATTTTAATGTTAGTTGTCGATCATTGGTGATTATTATTTCTCTTTTTTATATTGTCTTTTATTTTTATTTTTCTTGAGTTTTTTTAATTTTGAATAAAAAAATTATCCTTGTGATACTCTTTTCTTGCTCTTGTGGGATGTGTTTTCTCTGCTACTCTTTGTGGCACATTCCTTATGACTTTTGGTATATTTTTCGCATACATTTACGATCATTTTGGTGCTCACTCAAAGACCCTCACAATATTTATTTTCTGATTGGTTTGTCGGTGGTCATGTATAGTCAGATTCTCTCATTGGTAAAATATTGTATGTTAATATAATCATAATTGTGTAGCAAAGTAGTATGCCAAATAATTTGGTTCACTCACAACTCCTTTACTACCTTGTAAAATGTCTTGTTTGATAGAGACAATGAATTTTTATGAAGTTTATTGAGTTCTTTTGATGTTGGTCGTCATTCTAAATGCAATGTTTTATTTTTCTTCGTATATTTTGGTTTGATATTTTTACTTTTTTATGATTATTGTCTCTATTTTTCGTTTTATGCTTGAATGCATTATATTTTTGTTATTTCTATTATTTTTATTAATGAAATTTAGATATCATTGTTAAAAAAATACTTTTAGTTAATTCGATTAATTCAATTAATTAATTGATTAAAATTGAATTAACCTGTAACTGAATTTAAAAAAAATTACCTTCCTTTCATCTAACAAATTAATTATGCGTCATTGTGATTCATTTCCTGACTACCTACCTACCTATCGATATTTCTTTTAATTTAATGAATCTATGCTGATAGATTTGGATCCAATTTATTGATCTTCCATTGGTTTTCATTTCCCTTTACGAACTTTATGTTGGAAAAAAAAGTATAATGAGTAAATTTCATTATATATTTTTAATCATCCAATCCTCTTAAATTTGTATAAAACTTACAAGTTTAATGTTGTGTAAGTGGATATTAAATGTTTACAACAGTTGAGATGTAATGAAAGTTGCTTTTACTATCAATTTAGATAAATATGTTTGTTAATTGAGAAAAAAACGACTTATAGTTTGTTTGGTGGAATGAGATATTAAATTTTTTAAATAATATCGGGAGTTCAAATTATGGCCTTTGCGAAAATAATAAACTGAGTTGAGAGAATCGTTATTGTCTCTATAATATTCAATTTAAATTAATCGATCAATAAATCATATACATATAATTATACTAAAAAAATCAGAACTTTAGGAGTTGCTGCAAAGCTATATATGTCCATAAGGTAGCTTTCCACTGTTTGTATTTATGTAAGTGGTCAGACACGTTTTTCTTTTTTAAGCTTCTCCGCGTTAAGATTTACTGCTAAGTTCCTCTCAATAAGACCCTAAATAAAACATTAAAGTTCATGCAGAAATGGGTTATTTCGATTCTGGTACCATTTGCCGAAAGTTACGTAATATATGGACCCAATTATATGTGGGAAATTTCTTGTATAATTCGAATACCCCCGATGATAATTTAAATCCACCGTATAACACTGTCATACTTACGTGACGTAATTAGATTTATTTATTAATTTTTTAATAGATTGAGGTAATTAAGATATATTATCCGTTTAATTTTTTTAATATATTAATAATACATATACATTCTTCAAAATTCATTGTTTGAACTTATTTTTTTAAGGAAATTAATATTCTCTTTTATTATTGATGTCACCTGATGTGTTTAAATTTATTTATTAATTAATATCACCTGATAAGGTGATGATAAATATAAATTGTAACTGAAAAGATTTGATTGAAGTCTGTAAGTAAATAATTCTAACACTTAGAGGTTGTTTGTTTACTTCAGAATGATTAAGCGTTAAATGATTCAGAGGCTCTATATGAATTAGTTCTGAATGTGACATGATGTTTGATAATGGCTCTGAATCATTCAGAATGTACTTTTGTGTTGAATCATTCAACACTGTTTTGTTGAATCAGTCAGCACTGAATCATTCAGAGGTGCGAAACAAACGCGTTGAATGTGAACAGTTCAACATTCAGCGTTGAATGGTTCTATTAAGAGGCAAACAAATAGCCCCTTAATCGCTACACTAATTTAGATATTTACTCTATTATTAACAAAAACTAATATTTAAATAAATCACGATTGAAACTAATTATTTATTAATATTCATTAATTAAAATATTATAAAATGTATTTATAGGATATCATTTTTAATAAACTTTATTAATTATATGTTTAAAATATATTAATTATAACTTAAATTAAAATATATTATAAGAATATATTTATACATATTAATTTTATAAAAATTATTTAAATAATAATGTATTTACAACATCAGTTATAAATATATATATATATACGTATGTAAATATAATTTTTGTCAATAAAAACAAGTTTTCCAGTTGGTTGCATTGAATTTACTTATCTAGAAACTCTCATTTCAGCCCTTCAATTGTAATATATTTTCTTTACTTTTCTACTAACAATAATATGTGTTATCATTTTATTAGATGGTTTAGTCGAATAAAAAATATTTATTGACGAGATATTATATCATGTATTAATTTTAAATTTTTGTGTGCAAATTATAATTTTGATGTTATAAAAATGGCATGACTTATGGAATAATGTATTCTTTTAAACTCAGTTTGAGTTAATTTACAATATTAACATTGCGATTATTACTTTTTTTCAATCATTCAAATATCCATACCCTTACACCCTAATTATGTGTTCATATATCCATATTGAATACAGGACATGCGTTAATGATATATTATGCCTTTTTTATGTCTTCAAAATATATGAATATGTGTTTCCTTTGATGAAAGAGAATGGAAACAAGTCCAATCTTAGCATATAATTCTATCATATCCATTATTGCGAGGACTTTTAGGTCATTTGAAATCAACTAGGATTCGTGACATAGATATTAGAGAGAAGATCAAATAAATTAAATAATATATATATATTTCGATAATAAAACCAAACAATTGAAATGTATTAATATAGTACATAAAAATGCAGTTGGTGGCATCAACTAACTTCGCGCTGCTTCACCTGCTCCTATTCACTTCACCTTGTCAAATCCATTATATATTTATATTCACCCCCTCGTTCTTTCGAACTCACACTCCTTCCTCTCTCTCTCCATTCTTTCTTCTTCTTGTTGTGTTTGTATAACATTGTGAGAGATGGAGAGGGAAAGAAGCAAGATGGTTTGTTGGACCATCTGGATTTTGGTAGCTGGCTTTCTTTGCCAGGACTCGTTCATTCCAGTAATGTCCATTAATGGCTTTGAAGATCAGGAAAACTTTTTCTTTCCGGCACCAGACCCCCACACAGGGACAGTCCCCTCAGGTTTCACTCTCTTTTACTACTCACAATGACGTTTGAAATACCCGGGTGATTATACACGTTGATTCTCATTATTCTAACTGCAGGCTCACACGGTGGTTCACCTCCAACTCATGAAACACCATCACATGGAAGCGGTGGTGGCTACCACCCAACTCCGACACCATCACATGGAAGCGGTGGTGGCTACCACCCAACACCGACACCATCAACGCCTTCAGATGGGGATTGTGGAACTCCGCCGCATGAACGTTCGACTCCATCAAGACCGTCACCTTCACATGGTGGATATAATAATTACCACTCCCCTCCAACCCCAGCCACCGTAAGCCCGCCATCCACTCCCATTAATGATCCACCAGGAACTCCACATTTGAGCGGTACATGCGAGTAAGTCGTTGTAAATTCCACCACTCATTATCATGCTCATGCCACTAACAGCTGACTCTTGTTACTTTTTAGCTTCTGGAGGAGCCACCCAACACTGATATGGGGCTTGTTGGGTTGGTGGGGCAATGTCGGCAGCGCATTCGGTGTGACCAGCACTCCCGGGTTCGGTTCAACCATGAGCTTGCCTCAATCACTCTCAAACACACGTAACGACGGATTCGGGGCACTTTATCGAGAAGGGACGGCTTCGTTTCTCAACTCCATGGTGAATAAAAGGTTCCCATTCTCAACTAAGCATGTTAGGGAGAGTTTCGTTGCAGCACTTAGTTCGAACAGTGCCGCAGCAGCTCAGGCTCATCTCTTCAAGCTTGCCAATGAAGGCAACCTCAAGCCAAGGGACTGAACAGCACCTTTGGCTTAGTTATCAGTTCCTTGGGAGAGATTTTATCCGCTAGTTTTGCTACGATTTTTGTTGTGGTTTGGAGTATTTTCTGATATCTGTCATGTTACTGCTTCCATTTGGATAGATACATTGTGGAGGATTAATTAAGATTAATTGTGTTTCTTCTGATTTTCTCCTTCCAAATTTCAGGATCTATATGTCGTTATTGTCTTCCATATAAATGATAAAATCAACTAAAACAAATGAGCCTTAAATGGTCATAATTGAGTGAGGAGAAATAATTTCATAGATCCTTCTCATCATGTAAGATATGATCACAACCAATAAAATTAATACATATCATTTTTTTTATCTTGATCATCGTTACATCAAGATTTTAATTTTAAATTATATATTTTTCTCAAAACAATAATCAATCTTCAAACCCCTCCCGTCGTTAATCACAATCACCGTGACCACCGTTATTTATATTTGTTGAATATAATTTTTATCGTGCTTCCTTTTTCTCAATATGGTAATCAAATTGCTTTTATACCGTCGTTTGAAAATCCAGTTGATACATATTTTCGGCCATAATTTGACGTCGACGGTGGCTAGAGTTGATACAGATCTTCGATTATCGTATTTGCTGAATTAATAGATCCCTTCCGCCTAGATTTATATTCATTTTGTGTGCTTTATAATCGGGTGCTATTGATGCCATATTAAACCAAAAGCACATGAACTCAAGGGTCACTGCTTTGAACAGAAACACTCAACTGTGGCACAATTAATTCAATTTTTTTCAGAAGCAAATGCTTTGGAATATTTCATTCTTATAGCAGCCACTGCTTTGGATCTTGCTCCCATTTTTTGGGTGTGTCATGGGGGAATATTTTTGCAATAATGGAATAGAGGGTGAAATCAGGGGAGGGATGGAAGGAAAGTGACGGTGGCCATGGTGAGTGTGATTAACGGCGGGAGGAGTTTGAGAGGCTTAGACGGAGAGATGAGAATTTAATATTGTTTTAAGAAAAATAAATAATTTAAAATTTAAATCCATATGTAATGATGATTAAGGAAAAAATAATATATCTTAGATTTATTGGTTGAGAGCATATCTTATATAGTGAGGAGGGTTTATAAAATAATTTCTCAAATTTCAGTGTACCTTTTGACGATTGATTTTGATTTTATTCTACAATTTGATCTCCGACTTTTTTCTTATGTAATTTGATTTTTTATTTATAAATAACTTGGCTCTTATATTTAGTTTTTTATATATAATCTAACCCCTAATTTTTTAATATAAAATTATTTTTAATTAAATATTTCAATTTATTTAAATTAACATTTAAAATATAAATCTTAACATTTTAAGCAATTTATATTTTAGTTTTAATACAAAATATTCTTACATCTTAATAGTCATTTTAGTCTCTATTATTTTTTTGGTCACATCAACATTGTGAACTACAATGTCAAAATCGTAATAATTAATGACAAAAGTCATTGGTCAAAATGTTACATTGAGTTTTTTTTTTTGAGTTTAAATGTTACATTAATTGTAAAAACAGTTTGAGGGTAACGTTAATTTTTTTTATAAAAGTTTGAGGACCTCACGCACTAATATGCCTTAAATTAAAAAAAAAACTCAATTCAACATTACTCTAAAAAAATTAAACAAAATTGAAGTTATAAAAAAATACTTATTAATTCGACTATCTGGAAACAATTTTACACAGCATAACTTAATTTAATCGACTATTCATCTTTAATCTCAACATACTTGACTATGAGTGCTTAATGAGTAGAGTAGTTCGTGAGCAACTCGAACTCGAATTCGAACTTGAATTCGACTTGAGATCTTAACGAGTTGAGTCAATAAATGTTCAACTCGACTTAATAAATTCGCGAACAACTTGTTGATTTTTTTATAATTTTTTTAGTTTAGTGATTACAAGAAACAATGAAAAAAGTGAAGAGATGTTGATTTATTTATATTTAGCATTGATTATGAGTTGTTGAACTTTTTTTTCAATAATATTTTTAATATGTTAGTTTGATTTATTTGTGTATTTTTATTTGATTTTAATATGTTAATTTGATATATTTGTAGATTGTTACTTTAGAGTTTAGACTTTGAAATTGATTCATACAATTTTTTAATATTTTTTTTTTGTTAAATTTATTAATTTATGTTTATATTAATATGTATATAGTATTAGTAGATTTTACTTAAAGTTAAAAACAAATTAAAAAAATTGGTAAGTTTAACGACGAATGCGTCTAGCAATGAACTTAACGAGCAACAAATATTTTTAACGAGCACAAATCAAATAAAAATTTAACAAGCAACGAATCAAATAATAATTTTTTTTAACGAACACGAATCTAATATTATTTAACTTAATGTACTCACTCGATAATCACCTGACAACATTAAATACTCATTTCAAGAATATAATAAATTTATCTATACGACATAGGGATAAGCACCAAACATCGAATCATAATAAGCCATTCTTTATTGAGAAACCTAATGATCCCCGGCGACGAACTTATTTATAAAAATAGAGTTAATTACATCATATATCCCCAAATTATTTTCTTAATTTTAAATTGATCCTAAAACTTTTAAACATTCTAAATTCATTCTCAAACTATTATCCTCGTTCTATATTGATCCCAAAACTTTTGAATTCTCCATTTTCATCCCTAAACTTATGAATGATTAATGAGAATGTTATTGGAATGTTCAAAAATTTAAAGACCAACTTAGAATCAGAGTCATAGTTTGAGTATGAAATTAAAATGATCAAAAGTTAAGGGGACAAATTTAGAATGTGAATTATATTTTGAGGATAAAATTGGATCGTTTAAAAGTTTACGGATCAGTTTAGTGTGGGAGATATAGTTTGAGGATGTAAGGTACAATTAACTCATAAAAATAAGTAGGAATGACCAGTAGCACCGACAACATTAACGCGGTAAAGAGTAAAAACATCTTTGATCCAAACTTTCCCCTTACATAATCAAGCTTAACCCCGTCTAATCAGCCATTATTATACTTATAATGATTACATAAGCCTCATCATCAGATCACATGGTAGAGCTAGACTTCCGATCAACAGGAGACTCCGTGGTACAGTAGTTCCTGACGGCAGTGAGGATGTAAGGTGAAGTGTCGAGCGCCAACCATTGCTCCACCGCGAACTGCTTCTGGCTACAAGGAGAGTGGACACCAGTCATGGTGACCTCCACGTAGTTACAGTACCATCCATGGCCCGAACCCGAACCATCTGATGTCAAGTTCATGGAACATACAGGGCCAGGCAAGCAACGTCCCCTACCGGAGAAAATGTCCAAATTACCCCTCTCGAAATAGTTGTGGCCCGGCTCCATTAGCCCACCCCAAGTCTCGAGGTTGCTGATCTCGACGGAGTTTCCATCCAGATCTTCGAGTTTTAGGCTGATGATGGAGTCCGTTCCGCCTTTGATGATGGATCCCGTTCTTACGTACATCGAATAAACGCAGTCTTGCTCATCCTACATACAAGAAAAAGTAAGAGATAGTTAGAGGTTAGAGATGGGGATGATGGCGGAATTATCAGGGTTGCTGAGTGGTACTCACGGCGAGTGCGACGGTGGAGAAAGAGAGAAGGATGAAGAAGAAAGAGAATATCAGCTGCGTTCGGACCGCCATTGCTTTCAACTTTTTTAGGCTCTCCAAATGAAAATTATACATTGTTTGTCTATAAATAAATGATACCTTTTTCGGAAATTTTTCCAATAAATCACATGTGATCGATATATTTATTGATCTAACATCAGTTAGATTATATTTATCGATCTAACATTCGTAGCAGTAAAGCGTGTCCCTGAATTACGTTATACACTGATTTGGCGTCACGTGGGTATAGCGCGCCTCCTGTCCCGTGATATACGGTGATCTGACGCCACTGGGTATAGCGCCCCCTGATTCGCGCTATACATGGATATCTGACACGTGGGGTATAGCGCGGTACAGGGGGCGCGCTATACCCGTAAATACCCAACTCTTCACGTCCTCATCCTCCCTATAAATACTTCCATCCTCAATCACTTTTATCACACCAAATTCTCTCAAATTCTCTAAATTTCTCTCAAATACTCTATCTTTTTAAGGTATATTTTATAATATTTTTATTATTATGTATTTACTTTATTTAATATTTTACTAATATAATTCTTTTGCAGATATATAATGGAAGACAATCTACTTCGCTCGGATGGAAATCATATATCTCTACACTTTGCTAATACGGTAACATTTTAACGTTTTAATTTAATTTAAATTATTAATAATATTTAGTTGATTTATTTAATGCATGATTATTAGATTAAGAATTAAATATCTCGACACTTTGCTGATACGGTAACATTTTAACGTTTTAATTTAATTTAAATTATTAGTAATAATTAGTTGATTTATTTAATGCATGATTATTAGATTAAGAATTAATTTTTGTAATTATTTATTTTTAGGAGAAGGACCGTGTATTAGATCCTTTTATTAGGAATCTTAAGTTAGTGATACCCAACCGTGTCTTGCCGTATTTAGTAGAGGATGGATTCGGTTACATAGGTAGATATCAGGGTCACTGTAAGATAGAGCCAGACCTGATTTCTTCCTTAGTAGAGCGGTGGAGGCCGGAGACCCACACATTCCATCTTCCGTGCGGAGAGTGCACGATCACGCTTGAGGATGTTTTTATGCACCTGGGGCTTTCGGTGGATGGAGATGTGATATCGGGGATAGCTTCCGGTTCTTGGACTACTTTGTGTCGGGATAGTCTAGGACGTGTCCCGAAAAATTTTATCGGAGGTAGGATACCGTTAAATTGGTTAGATTCCAATTTTCTGGAGTTGAGCGTAGACGCCTCTGAGGATGAGGTTAAGATGTATGCACGGGCATGCATACTGCAGTTGATAGGAGGGTTGCTGATGTCAGACAAATCGCGCAACCTAGTTCACTGCATGTAGTTGCGACATCTTAGCGACTTTCGTCTCGCCGGATCATTCAGTTGGGGCTCGACATTTTTGGCTTTGCTGTACAGGGAGATGTGTAGAGCCACTGACTACAGACGTAATGCTATCGGCGGATGTCTCCTGCTGCTGCAGTCTTGGGCATGATATCGATTGCCCTTTTTATGTCATGTTGTGAAGAACCCATTTTTATTTCCACTACTTCTGAGGTAATTATAAAACTGATTTTGTATATTAATAATTTTATACAGCGTATAACAAATTTTTTTTCCTTGAATAGGTGGTCTACTGATAGGAAAAATCATCAGGAGCTACCTGATGATTTAGAAAAAATTAGGGTGTTAATCGATCAGAAGGCTGACACACAGGTATGAATTTTAATGTTTAAAAATCGATTTTAGATTATAGTTATATAATTAGATTATTATTTTAATAAAAATTATATATATTATTTGTTTTAGTTTGAAAGAGTGACATATTCTACTGATGATGTGAAGGCTGTGATCCCACCTGAGTTGAGGGGTCCATCAGATGTTTGGATGGTGATGGTCCCTCTGATCTGTTATGCGACCGTCGAGTGGCACTCCACTGATCGCGTGCTCCGGCAGTTTGGTTGTTTTCAACCAATTCCGGAAGAACCTCGCAATATGGACGAGTTGCACAGCTTAGATAGAAGCGGCAAAACAGATACAGATTGGCTGGTGAGGCATCATGGGTGGGTCGTGTTATGGGAGGATCGACATCGGCGCCTTCCCCGTAGAGAGCCCATTTTTTTATGACTTCTTGATGTATGTTGAGGATTATTATGAGTGGTTCAACAGTAACGAGAAACTGTTTCTACTTCCCGAGGATGTACGAGGGCAGACATTTCCACGATGTCGACAGAGACGTTAACCGACACAGCACCATCGTCCCCCGACTCGTGGACGGAGAGCAGGTGCTTCCGGTTCATCCTCAGCTGCACTAGCAGGACCTTCACAGCAGCCACCGCAGCCATATATGATGTCGCAGCCATATATGATGCCGCCATCGCCTTTCATTTACCAGATACCGCCTCTACCGCCTTCACTTGGTTTTATGACCCCGCCACCGTCACAAATGACCCCTCCTGGAGGCTATTATGGGTCTATGTTTGTAGATTTGACTTGGGGTTCATATGTTTGGCGGAATCAGCCTCATCACCCATGGCCGCAGCACAGACACCTCCTGTACAGTTTTCATACTCAGCGATGTCTGGGTTTTCCCGATTTTCGCAGGCCGGTGGGATAGTCAGTCATACACCTCCAGGGTCCTTATTCTATGGAGGTGCTTCATCGTCATCAGCTCCTCATCAACCTAATGTACCTGCTTAGGACGACGACGACGACGACGATGACAGCGAGGAGTCAGAACCAGTGATACGAAGAAATCCTCCTCGAGACCGACAGCCACCGCCCTGCGGAACACATTCGTAACGCAGGCATCGATAGATTTTTTTATTATATTTGTATTTACTTTATTTTGTTTAATTGTAATTTTTTATTATTTCTCATTTAATACTTACTTTATTTTGTTAAATTTGTTGGATTTTTTTTAATATATTTCAGTTAATTTTGTTTATTACCATTTAATATCAGTTATTGTAATTTGGTTATCATTTACCATTTAATTCTTATTGTAAGTTTGTTGTATTTAAATACCAAATTGTTATTAGTTGATAAAATTTAATGATTGTGTTCGTTTTTTTAATCTTCATCAGCGATTATTTGAATGACATTAACTTAAAGTAAATGCAAATTAAAATACAAGAATTATTATTTGATAAACAAATACATCATTTCCTCATCAATTGTTACTTGATGACAACAGAAGTGAACATGTTTTTCTAGTGTGTCATGGGTTTCTACAATGGCCACATCTTCTGTCTTGTCTAGATCTTTCTCGAATATCCATATCGCAATGAATTCGATTGGATTTTGGATGACCACGTTCCCTCAATAAACTAGGATTTGGTACAATCGAAAGCCAATCTTGAACCTCATCAGGGTCTTTTTCATTACCTATGGGGGGAAACTCAAATTCGTATACCTTAAAAACTTCATATAGTAGGTATACGGGATCCACAAAATGGTTATAGTCTTGACGTGTATGCGAGCAAGATGCTATCACATGAGAGCATGGATACTTCAGAGCTTGAAAAAACTCGCAGTCGCACATTCTGTCCCTTAGATTTACTCTTAACGACACAGCTTCAATCCCTTGAAGAGGTCGCCGCAACTCTGTGACACGAAACATTTCATGCCTTCTTGAGAAGCTTGTTACAGACATTCCATTTGATGCAATAATTTTTTTCTGTAGATCTACAACTAATCTAGGGTGATAGACATGACCGCCTTGTATCCAGGTTTGAGCTTGTCCCCCGAGCTTCGCAAAAAGCACCCCCAAATAAAAATATGTAGTTTTTACCAAAGCCGCTACAGGTAAGTGATGTGCACTCTTTAAGGTTGAATTGATTGCCTCAGCCAAGTTGGTCGTCATGTGTCCATAGCGATATCCACTATCATATGCGTTCGTCCACATTTCTTTATCGATGAGGCTGATGTAATCATATCCTTCCTCGTTCTTCGCCCGCAAATCTTGAAGCATTGATTCAAACATTCGAGGAAGTAGTTCGTAACCTAATCAAAAAATGTATAACTTACTAACTTGTTTTCTTTGCAAAATTAAAATGATCAAAAAATGTATAACTTACTAACTTGCTTTCACTTACCCATGCGCACAATTAATTGATGATCATCATTTTTCTTGTACCTTCCATGATAGTTTGCAGCAATGTGTCAGAGACAATACCTATGTTGGACAAAGGGTGGTTGCCACATTGGACCCAAAGACTCCATTGTTGTTTTGATCCCAGCTCCGCGATCTGAAATGACACAGATTTCTTCCCTCGTGATAACATGTGCACGTAAATTTCGGAGGAAAAAAGCCCAAGAATCTGTATCTTCTCATTCGACAAGAGCAAAAGCAACTGGAAGAATATTGCGATTGCCATCTTGGACAACTGCTAATAATAAAACTTGCTTGTATTTTCCATACAAGAAAGTCCCGTCGATCTGGACCACAGGCTTGCAGTATTTGGCAGCATTAACGCACTGTGGGTAACTCCAAAAAACCCGGTAGAATTGGCATCGATCGCGAAGAACTCGATCATTATGGTATGCATAGGAGGTTTCGAAGTCCACAATTATCCCAGGATTCAACGTCCGCACCCGCCTAAACCAACATGGAAGTTCGTTGTAAGATGCATCTCGTTCGCCATGAAGTTTGACAATGGCATTTTGTTTTGCCAACCAAGCTTTTTTATAGGAGACGGTGTACCCATACTGCGATTGTATAGCTGAAATCAACATTGCAATAACTATATGAGAGCTTGCTTTTACCATGGGCATGATGGCTTAGCATATAACTTCAGAGTCCAAGTTGGGATGATCTTGGTTGACCCCTCCAGCACAACATGTGTGAGGACCGTTGCATACTGTTAGTTCCCATATGTTGTTTTTCCTCTTCATTTTCGATACGCGAACCATCCAATTGCATCCGTTTTCGCGTCTGGCACAGTAGCATACATATTTTTCGGTCGTCGATCGGTTGACTCTGGACTGAACAGAATTACGGATATTGTAATTTTTGATAGCCATCATCGCTTCTTCTTTTCTTGAAAACTCCATGCCTAAAGATAAC